AAAAAACTTTAGGTATATAAACAGCTAACCCTTGTCTTTAGATTCAGTATCAATTTGCTTCTCCTGGAGATGCTAACCTTGTTAGCGAAACGCGCGTCGAGTGCAAAAATATCAGTTTGGTGTTAGGGTAATTGATCTCTAGAAAAAGTTTTCAACTTTTACACCAAAGATTCCAATCTCATCGTTTAAACCGATTTTTGTGAAAATCTTAGTGTTTTTGGGTATGTTCATCAATATGGCTTTCTGGAGACCTTTTGAAACAAATGATAACATTACGTGTGAGGAATCTGTGCCAATCGACAGGGATCCGGAATTTGAAAATAAGGACTTAACATGTTCAAGTTCAGCGAGTAATTTTAAATATTCATGAATGCTTGAAGAAGGAAAACTGTCACACTACACAGAATCCTATTGTGAATAGAATATGCGTGTTAACGAAACTATCTCGTTCGACCGTTCTTCGAGTCATTAAAATAGGGGATGTTATTGACCATGCAATGAAACGAAAACAAAGGAATTAAAAATTCTCAAACGTTGATGGTGCTACAAAAGAAAAAAATGAAGTACCAACCTTGGAAATGATTTGGTATAAATTACTCGACTATCCCGATTACAATTACAAATTTTTAGAAACTCTACGACGTGTCTTATTGTATTGTGGTTTCAAATATAAAAAATTGATGGTCATAATGGATTAACACGCATTGTTCAACTCCGACAAGAATATTTGAGGCTAATGAAAAGCTACCGAGAATCCAGCAGACATGTAATCTACCTCGACGAAACTTGGTTTGACACTCATGATGTTGTCAAATATGGCTGGGTAAACGAAACCAAGTAATTGTGCTTTGAACACACCTTCTTCAAGGGGAAAACGTGTTGTAATTTTGGATGCCGGGAATGAAAGTGGTTCCGTACCTAACGCTTTGCTTCTGTCGGCCACAAATATAAAAAATTCGTCTGCTGATTACCACGAAGATATGACTGCGGCTTTATTCGAAACCTGGTTCAGTGAGCAGCTTCTCCCAAATATTCCTCCAAACTCGGTTATTGTTATGGATAACGCTTCGTATCATTCCCGTTTATTGACTACAATACCAAACAATAACACAGAAAAAGCAGATATTGTTGAATTCATGCGAAATCATAACATGGAAATACCCGAAAAGATTCCAACAAAAAAGGTATTACTGGCGACCATAAAACAACTTAATTTCAAAAAGAGTAAATTATTGATTCGATGTGTGAAACACGTGGTCATATTCTCATACGTTTGCCTCCATACTATTGTGTGTTCAATGCAATTGAAATGGTTTGGGCCACAATGAAAGAAATCTTGCGGAAATGTAATCAGTCACCGACTTTGAATGCTGTAGTGCTTGACAATATAAGGCCAGTGGTGAATGCAGTTGGTAATAGTGATGTGTGGAAGAACTGTGTGGCCCAGGTTATAAAAGAAGAGAACAAATATTATGTGCAAAGTTCCATAAATCCGATCGTTATTCAACCCGATGATGATTCCACCTCATCCGAATATAGTGAAGAAGAATTTTGATTTTTCTAGCAATTTTGTTGGCCTCTATTATTTTGTGAATATATGTTCGACGAGAATTTGGTGTGATTATTTGTGCTGTACTGTGTTGTGCTGGACAAGTGGCGACAAGCTTTAGTCTTTGATTTTTTTCTCCCTGCTATAAACATTGTATGTTTCTTGGGAAAATAAATAGGTACTAAAACGTTGGTCTAGGGACGTGCTGTAATGATTTTTTTCATTCATCCCTTCAGCAACCAAAAGAATTGCCTCATAATAACTGTATTTTTGAATGGTTTGAAATTGTCTTCTGAAAACCTGTCTATGTCAGAAATCAATAAATACACTGAATACTAATTGAATTATCATCTGTTTCTTCTTTCCATAAAAACGTATAAAATATGTATATACATCTGAAGTCAAGAGAACTACTGTCTCTCTCTTCCGAGGGTGAAACTCCTTTTCAGCTTCTGGTGTCTTCATTACGTTGGAAAATGTAAATTTCAATTCAAGTAAAGTAGCACTTGTGCTAACTAAGTTGAACTTCGCCTTTAGTTATGTCAGCAACTAGCTCTCTAATTTATTTAAATATTTGTATGTAACTACAGCTGGCTAACAATAAAGACGATTATAATTATTATTAAAGCTTATATCAGTTTAACACATAAGGGTCAAAGATGCATCGAATATTTCATTATTAATTCTATACAACATAATTATGATTGAAATAAATATATTGTGATATAAGTGAAATAGAAATAAAAAAAACTGAAAATAATGGAGATAAATTTATTGATGAAAATAATTGTTTAGAACATTTTCTTCAACAAGATTCGGAGTTCCAAGAAACTGTTAATCTAATAACATTTCAATGGGCTCATTCAGGCTAATTTAGATTTTTATTGAAGATTATATATTATAAAAGTTAATCATCTCCCAAGTATCCCACAAAATTTTCCGGTTTTTATGTCAATTAACAATTGAGCAAGAGCAATTGAGAATGTGAGATCGACCGCGATACATTTTTACGTCACACCATGAATCGAGCTTCGAGCGGTGGCAACCGGGCATGTGTTGCGAGATTATAAATCTCTGCCATCGCCGTCAGCACTCCCTTGTCGCCTAGTCGATTGATGTGACGTCAAGCTTGACCACATTCAACTGTTAATTTGAGGGGGAAGATAAGGAGTGAAATTTCAGATTTTCAAATAATGAAATGAAAAAAAGTTGTTAAATGAGCCCATTTTTCTGAAAATTTGGCGAAACACTTCACGCCTAGTTTGCGATAAAAATAGGTTGAATAATTGAAATTTATAAATTTACTTACGGCATTCATTTTTCTGTAGACGCATTGTAATAGACACTGAAACAAAAAATAATAATAAAGACATTTATTGGCGGCTAAAATAATAGTGTAACATATCTTTATAGTTGTAATCAGTTTCGAATAGTATTTTTTAATTGGCAATTAAGTATACAAATTTGTAATCCCCTTCATTCATGCAGTTAATTACCTCATTATGGAAAGCAAAATATATGTTGAGGTTATCAGAATAATAATAACATAATATCTTTTTTTTTTCAACTACGGAACGCTAATATCCATTATAACAAAGTTTTATCAAAAAACACCTTTAGTTGAAAATTGCAGTTAAACGTTGTTAGGCAATGCGAGTTGTTAGTCGAGACGGTTATTCTTGATACCTAATATTATTTTACGAGATTTTTCATGACAAATATTGTTTTGATTTTCTGGAAATGTTAGGTGGAGTTGTTCACGAATATGGCGATATTGATGAGTAGTTTACCATTCTAGAAAACAAAAATGAAACCGTTTCATCAGGGCCGCAGCGAAAAGAAAATCCGGGGGGGGGGAATCCAAATTTTCCCAACCCCACCAACAAAATTTCCCAACTTTCGAAAAAATGAAAGCCGAGGGATTAGTTACTACTATAATATATTAATTTTCTTACTAAACTATCCAAAGATTGGCTGAATGCTTATGCTCGTTAGGGTATGCACAAACAAAAATAAATTTTGGTAATTATAAAAATAATAATGGAAATTATTCTACTTTGGACCAAGGTCCTTGGTCTTCCACCATATCCTGTATAGGAATATTCAATACAAATAAATGGAAACAACACTTAAATAATAGTGTGCTTATGATGCACTGTTTGGAACCTTTGGTGTAGTAATGATTATTACTGGAGTTTTTTCCCAACACCAAATTGTTATTTTTAACACCTCGACACGTGTTTCAAAGATTCATCTTCCTCTTGAAGATGATCACTTGGTGATCGAAACACGTGTCGAGGTGTTAAAAATAACAATTTGGTGTTGGGAAAAAAGTACAGTAATATTCAATATTGTGCTTATTGTTTTCTACTATTATTTTTTCTATCTTCACGGCCAGAAACTTCCCAACCTTTCCAAGTCGGAAAAACAGCGAAAAGTTGGGAATTTTGTAAAATTGTCACTTCAAAATTTGTTGACTGTTCAGGACTGTTCTCTTACTTGCGAAAAATTCAACTTTTTTGAAGTTTTCAAACAACTCAGAATTTCAAAGTATTGGATCTCCAAGTTATGCATGTTGGGAAATCCCAACCTTCTCCTGGTTCTTTCCCTTTTCTTATTACCTCTCCCGTTCTTTTCACTCATTTTTATTTTTTTCATTTTTATTAATTTTTTTTATTATTATTTTTTTCTATCTTCACGGCCCAAAATCTTCCAACTGTTTCCCAAGTCGAAAAGGAGGGGGGAAGCTCCCCTCCCCCCCCCCATGGCGACGGCCCTGCGTTTCATCAAAAAGTAAATTACTTAGTTTTTTTCCCTCAACTTTATAGTAAAAAGGTTGTACTTATTCGCACGAAATAAAAAGAAAATTTGTGTCAGCTCGAAATATGGCAGTGTATATGTGCAAACCTATGGAAAGAGAATTATATAATATACAGAACTGCATATTGACAACTTGTGTTGCGTTGTTTCTTGGCTGCTTTTCTCATTGTTTTTATAATGTTCTCCGGATTTGTCGCATTTTTATTTGATATCTTCTTTGAATATTGATTTTTTTTTAAATTACTTGATTGCTTTTTTCTTTAAGTCCAGTCTTTAAGTCTGAACAAGCTAAATTTTAGATGTATTTTTTCAATTTCACCAATTTGTTCGATCGATGAATAAATCCCAGTAATTATTAACTTACTTATTTACATATTTTTCTTAACACTGAGAATGCTCAATTGTAGTTTTTATATACGTACTGCGTTTTTGCCTATTGTATGGTGTAGACGCTACATACATACAACTCTACACATCTCTATATTGTAGCGATTTATTGAAGAGGAGTAAAAAAAAGTTCTCCATGATATAGTTACAGCTGATGGAATCAATACGTGTCGCTACAGTTGAACAAAGTTTTGCTGTTGCAAATTTACGTGATTCAAATTACATTATGGAATATTATATTTGTATCTGTATATATGTATTATCGGTAGATAAAGTCCATTTCGTAGTATTATTATTGAATTGCTGGAAATTATTTACAATTCATTATTTATAACAAACTCAGCTCATGTAACCATCCTCAATATCTTAAGTTCAATGTAAAATCCCAGCTGGCGAAATTAAAGTTGAGAATAAATCAAGCCTGAATACTGAAATTTCAATTGATAGATATTCCCGTTTCATTAAAAATAAATTCCAAATCCGAACTCCTAACTCTGTGGAATCCTCAATACAATTATTATATCACTGAACTAGATTGAACGGAGAGAGCACCAACCAACATTTCCAAATCATTGTTTTTCGAGAGAAAACTGAAAGTATGAAAATGGTTTCACTTCCACTCAAAGTTTGCTTAATAGGCTAATCATGCATTATATATACTGTCATAGTGGACCCTCATAGTTTTATTAGTATGATTAGAAAGGATAATTACAATATTCATGTCGATTTCAAATACAGAAGTGTTTGTGCTTGACATTGACACCGACTGAAATCGCAAAGCTAATAGTCGTGTTTATATATACAAGTTGTTTAAAAATATGCTCCCACATATAATTAGAGGCAGAGATAATAAAGTCTTGTGGTTTCCTTATGAAAACATGGTTGAAACAACTGAAAGGTGATCAGTGCATAAATATTCAATATTTGGTACCATGATTCAAAAAATTTAGAAACTTATTCCAATTGTCGAAACTTAACTCATCCGAAATAATTGGTATTTTTTTAAAGATCAGTAGATCAAATTGAGTATTTGTGATAGTTCGCACTGGAACCTCTGGCGTAAAATGAATCCAATGAAAATACGTTCCCAACACCAGAACAAAAATTATGGTCTCTCGACGCGCGTTTCGCTAACCAAGTTAGCGTTCCCAGGAGATCATCATGACTAAATTTTACTACTATGTTAGTTATTTTATACGGTAATATTGAACTACACCGGTTAGTATTACTTAACTACTACCTGTTATTCTTCCTATGCTAAACTACCTGTTTTTAACACTTCTAATTTGTTATGTATTTCCTCTATGTTAGTGACTATCCCCTGGGATTTACGAAATAAGCTGCAAAGATTGTGATGAGAAATATGTTGGTCAAACCAAACGGATTATAATAACTCGCTACAAGGAACATGTTTCGCATGTTCGGTTTCATAGACCGGAGAAATCTGGTGTCGCTCAAAATGCAATAGAGAGCGACCATAGAATAAGTGAGAAATGTTCGAAACTGTTGAGACCGGTACATGACAATAGGTTTCTATATGCCTTCGAAAGCTTGGAAATCGAAAAGTGCGAAATAAATTACATGAATAGCGACAAAGGTCCTATTCCGAACAGTTCTTTTGTTTGATATTATATGTAATAATTCTAAATGAAAACAGATAAATATCAGACAAAAAAGTGGGAATAGTAAATAACATAGAGAAAATACGTAACAAATTAGAGGTATTAAAAAACGGGTAGTTTAGCATAGGAACAATAACAGGTAATAGTTAGGTAATACTAACCGGTGTAGTTAGTTACTACTATCAGGTAGTAGTTAGGCCACTAGCATATCAAAATACTGGCGTAGTAGTAAAATTTTGTCATAATGATCTCCTGAGGACGCTAACTTGGTTGGCGCAACGCGCATCGAGATACCGTAATTTTTGTTCTGCTGTTGGGAAAGCTATTTCAATAGAAATTGAGCATTTTCTAGTGTTCATTTTCCAAAATTCGTCATTGACAGATTTTCTATTAGAAGTAATAATGAAACTTTCGCTACATATAAATATGTATTTATTTGTAAATCTGTAAAGCTATACTAATATATTTTCTCTATATATTTTTTATTCGAAGGAAGAATTAATGAAAAAATGTATTTCAAAGATGGGTGAATACTTACTCCTGCAATTCGTTTTTCATCATCGGTAAATGCTGCTCGTTTTGCTCGACTGTGGGTGTGTTCGTTCATATTGATTGCTGCTAACGCTTCTGAAATAATACACGTTTTTTAAGATATAGGATTTCCATGTTTTATACCACTGCAAAAGAGTAAACGCAATTGAAAACAGATCAAAACTGAGTTAACGTTACAGTAACCGGCACAAACAATATAATTTGCAAAGAAGACTGCTGTGATGTCAGCTGCCTTGGAACGAAATAGTCTTGACCACTGATTTCTTATGATTAGGCCAGATAGATAATAAGAACGTAATGGCTTTGCATTTTCCATCCAATGTGTAGGCAGCTCAAAGCTGAAAATCCATAAGGTTCTGGAAAAATATAAACCTGAAAAAGCCAGTTTTTGAAATATGTTTTCTTGGACTTTTTGTAGCTCTTCGAAACTAGGTTACTTATTTCATAAACTACACCTTACGATTCGATCTCCACAAACTTTATTTGAGAAATATATCACGGCATGTTTCGCTAACACAGAAGCTTCTTCAACAGTGATCTGAATACTACCAGTTGCCTCTTATGCTAATATTTATATACCATAGGTAGCTACAATTGAGACTGGGTTCACTCTATTTCTATATAATAACTAGCTTTTACCCGCGGCTTCGCTTGCATTCATGCCATTAAATAAGTGTCAGTACAATAGAAATGAATCAATATGAGAACTTGGCTGCGATTATCAATTTTTAAAAATTATTACCTAACCTAACCTCACCTACTCTACTCTAACCTAACCTAACCTCACCTAACCTAACCTATCCTAACCTAACAAAGTAGCTACATTTTGAGATTTTTTTATCTTACATTAAAAATTTTTTTTAATAAAAAGTATCCTATGTTACTTCTTATACCTCCAAGAACATGTGTGTAAAATTTTGTGATGATCGGGTGAATAGTTTTCGCGTGAAACCGTAACAAACAAACTTGTATTCGAATTTATAATATTAGTAGGGATAGGGATTTTATTACTAAAGTAATAGTATCATCAGGAGGTATGCTGGGAAATAGATTCTGCACATCAAAGGATCAATATTTCAAAATTTCCTAAATTCAAGAAATCTATGGTTTTTTGGACATAGTCGTTTCAGTCAATATTAACCACAGTGTTGCCTTTATCTGCTCAAGTCAATATAACATCATTTCTGTTAATTTTACTTCGTGAAATTAATACGCAATACGCATTGACTTGATCAATGAAATGGAGAACATAACTCTATTGGACAACGCAAAATTCCCATCCTTTGATGTGCAGAATATATTTCCCAGCATACCTCCTGATGATACTATTACTTTAGTAATATAATTATTATATAAAAATAGAGTCAACCCACTCAAGAAACAAGAAATCATTGACCTTCTGTCGTTATGTCTCAAGCAAAATTATTTTCAATTTAACAACAATATTTATTCCTCTTCAAAAGGTTTAATTATGGGAAATGCGTTGAGCCTCTTAGGTACCTACTTGCGGAAATTTTCGTGGATAACCCAGAGAAGTCGATTTTTTAACATCATTTGATGTTCAATTTCTTGTATTGGCCAATTCACTATTGAAATAGAAGCAGACAACTCAAACTCAATCAATTTCTTGGATTCAACAATTAGCAGAATGAACAGCAAACGTGATTTTTCAATTTATCACAAACCGTCCATTACGATTCTACCCATATAATAATATATCAACACAAAGTAACAGCTTATAATAAATAGCATGATTCACAGATTACTCAATGTTCCTCTTTCAATAAATAATTTCAATAAAGAATTAAATATCAAACAAATTACAGTGAACAATGAGTTTAAAGCTGAATTAATAAACAAAATATTTTCCAAAAAAGTCAACGCGAAAGCGATTCGAGACCTTTTTTTACTATTAATGAGTTAGATAATCAAAATCAAAATTATAGAGTATTACTGGAGTTTGTAAAAATTAAAACTGGAAAAACTCCTCTTTGAAGATGATCAATTGGTGATCGAAACACGTGTCAAGGTGTTAAAAATAACGATTTGGAGTTTGGGAAAAACTCTAGTAATATTCATTACTACACCGAAGGTTCCAAACAGTGCATGATAAGAAAATCATAGAGCTTTAAGGTATTTTGGACAAACAACAGAAAAAGTGGCTTCATTTTTGAGGAAACGGGATATTAAAAGTGCATGTAGAACAAGTAATACGTTGGGAAAGTTAGTTAAAAATAATAAAGACCAAACAATCAAATTCGAGAAATCAAGAGTATATAAATTTAAGTGTGGAATGTGTCTCAAGGTATATATTGGTCAAACTGGCAGAACATTTAGGAATCGAATCCAGGAACATCAATTGAAATTAATGAACTTAAAAATTCAAACATCCTAATGAATGACCAACTGGTATTGAATATATCACCATTATTGAACTTGTTTTCTTAAAAAAAACGAGGAAGTATTGTTATTGATGTAGATGTGAGGTAATATGTTTCAGGTAATCATAATTAAAGAGGTCCCTCAGGTATATAAAAGTTGTAGAGGTTCAGATAATTTGATGGAGGTAGTTAGCTGTGATATATAAATATTAGCGTAAGAAGTAACATGTAGTATTCAAATCACTATTAAAGAAGCTACTGTGTTAGCAAAACATGTGATACATTTTTCAAATAAAGTTTGTGGAGATCAAATCGTAAGGTGTAGTTTATGAAATTACTATGGTACTTCATCAAGTAACAGCCGAATCGATCAGAAAAAAAAATAAAATTAGGTTACTTATCACAGCAATGCAAAAAAATAAATAAAAACGAGTCTCTTCTTTTCCGAAGCTACTATAAGTTTTATTATTGGACGAATCTGTCAGAAAACTTCCAAATCTAAGGCTGTAACTAGACAGTCGCCTGGGCTCAAATTCAAAGGCGGCGTAAAATTAACAATAAAAACTTCTCTGTTTCAGACTGGTGCAATTTATCAAGCAACAAAACTTTCACGCTATTACATAAATATAAAAAATTACTGCACGTGAACTATCTGTAATATTATGCCGATGGTCATTGGCGTGAAGTTATCCACAGATTTCTGGCCACACATGCCGACGTAGAGGAAAATAAAAATCTGTGGTTGGGATACAGAATTATTAGCACCCGTACTAATATCTGTGGCTGGAAATACCTATTCACTATAGGTTGAACGTGAAATTATTGAGACTATTTGGTGTTTAACATTTTTATAGAGTCTTGAGTAGATTGAGGCGTTGATAATCCTTTTCTGATCAACAATACAGATTAAGGGAAAAATAAAATTGAAAATATTAGACTTACTTTCCAATACCCCATATAGAAATGATATCCGATGATGTGCGTCCATCAAAATCACACAACTTCCATAGTTTCTTGGGAAGATTTACTTGGTGATAACAGTTTTCTTGTTATCTAAACAGATTTCGAAAAAGAAATTGTTGAAACAATCAGACTCATTTTTTGAGGTTCCTTGTATTCATGAAAATCACACAACTCTTATAGAATTTTGAATAGATCAACACAGTGAAAACCGTTTTTTTGTTACCCATACGGAATTCGAGAATAAAATTGTTGAAACGATCAAACTAACTTTTTCAACCCTTGTAGAGTTGAAACCAGATGATGTGCGTGCATAAAAATCGCATAAGTCTTATGGAATCTTGGGTAGATTGACGTAGTGATAACAATTTTCTTGTCACCCGAAGAGATTTCGAGAACAAAATTGTTGCAACAATCAGACTCATTTTTTGAGATTCCTTGTAGAATTGGAACCAGAAGATGTGCGTTCATGAAAATTACACAACTGTTATAAAATCTTAGGTAGATCTATATAGTGGAAACTGTTTTCATGTCACCCATACAATTTTCGAGAAAAAAATTGTTGCAACAATCAGACTCATTTTTTGAGATTCCTTGTAGAATTAGAACCAGAAGATGTGCGTTCATGAAAATTACATAACTGTTATAGAATCTCAGGCAGATCGATATATTGAAAACTGTTTTCTTGTCACCCATACAGATTTAGAGAAAAAAATTGTTGCAACAATCAGGCTCATTTTTTGAGATTCCTTGTAAAATTGGAACCAGAAGATGTGCGTTCATGAAAATTACAAAACTGTTATAGAATCTTATTTGTATCGACATAGTGTAAACCGTTTTCTTGTCACCCATACAGATTTCCAGGAAAAATATTGAAACAATCAGACTCTTAGAAGATGTGCGTTCATGACAATTACATAACTGTTATGAAATCTTGGGTAGATCGATATAGTGAAAACCGTTTCCTTGTCACCCATACAGATTTCCAGGAAAAAATATTGAAACAATCAGACTCACTTTTCAAAACACCTTGTTGAATTGGAACCAGAAGATGTGCGTTCATGAAAATTACACATCTGTTATAGAATCTCAGGTAGATCGATATAGTGAAAACTGTTTTCTTGTAACCCATACAGATTTCGATAAAAAAGTGTTGCAACAAACAGACTCATTTTTTGAGATTCCTTGTAGAATTGGAACCAGAAGATGTATGTTGATGAAAACTACATAATGTTATAGAATCTTGGGTGGCTCGATAAAGTGAAAAATGTTTTCTTGTCACCCATGAAGATTTCGATAAAAAAAATTATGCAACAATCAGACTCATTTTTTGAGATTCCTTGTAGAATTGGAATCAGAAGAGTGTGACAAGAAAACGGTTTCCACTGTATCGATCTACCCAAGATTCTATAACAGTTGTGTAATTTTCATGGACGCACATCTTCTGTATCCAATTCTACAAGGAATCTCAAAAAATGAGTCTGATTGTTGCAACAATTTTTTCATCGAAATCTGTATGGGTGACAAAAAAACAGTTTCCACCATATCGATCCACCCAAGATTCTATAATAGTTTCAATATTTTTTCCTGGAAATCTGTATGGGTGACAAGAAAACGGTTTACACTTTATCAATCTAATTAAGATTATAGAACAGTTATGTAATTTTCATGAACGCACATCTTCTAGTTAAAATTCTACAAGGTGTTTTAAAAAGTGAGTCTGATTGTTTCAAT